GCTTTTTCCCAGTCATACCTGAAGATCATAGAATTGTAGAGTTGGAAAGGACCCCAAGGGTCATCTAGTCCAAGCCCCCTGCAATGCAGGAATAAATAAGTATAGGAATAAATAGATATCAGGGATTGAATTTGGGACCTTCTGTATGCAAAGCAGATGCTCTACCAATGAGCTTACAGATCCCATTCCCTAATTTTTAGGGGAAGCTATTTACAAGCATTAGATATTAATCAATGTGTGCTGTGATAAATCTTGGGAATAATGGAAATACTGTCACACTTCTCCCCACCCCCATTAACAAGTTCATTTATTTCTATTTTCAGAAGACAGAACATCTCTACATTTAAAGAAAGGAAGAGCATCTTACACTAATTATAATCCAATTATAAAGAAATGTCACGAAAAGAAAATACTATTACACTCTCACCACTTTCAAATTTCAAAATACTATTACACTCTCACCACTGGAGTTTCAAAGTGTTTTTGTAGTATTCGCTTTATTTGCAAACAAGTGGCGTGTTAGCTGGAGGCAAACAGCCAACCCACAGCTCTTCCTATCTCCGTATTTCTGGATTCAACATGGCAAAAACTGCTATCTCAACTTTCACACACACCTGACAAGCACTCACTCAAACCTCACTAAGGGACAGGATGAAGTCATTAAGGAGGACATTAACTTTCTTGATCCAGCATCAGATTCTGGACTGCAATTGGGCAACATTTTCAGGAAAACCACAGACTGAGTCACAGAAATCAGAGAGAAAGCTCAAAACAATATAGCAAGTGGCCAGCTCTCACTGACAAACTAGATCATGATAATAAGCGAACATGCTTATAAGCGATGTGTTGTACCATGCTGGAAAAAGCATCTTCTAATTTCAATCCAGACTTCTGTTTTTACTTTCAACATTCTACCCTGGGACAAAATGCTCTTACAATATTCTTGCACCTTTAGAGCATTCTTAAAAATAAATAAATCATACCAATCTTTCACTTCTCAAAATAGATGGACTCAGTTTCTTCAAATTTTCTAACTGTTCTTACTTTTAGAGAAAGGCTGAGTTTGGCTATCTTCAACCTAAGGGTGAAATACAATTTGTAGCAAATTGGAATTTCTAATGCTTATTAAAGGTGGGACAAAGATAGAACGAATATATCAGTGAATGATAGCAGAGTCCTATGCTGGTCTACTGAGTCACTGAGTTTAATGGAGCTTACTCCCAGGTAAGTATACCCAGGACATCTGCCAAAATAAATTAACAATGCACAGTTTTTCTGTGTCATTAGAAAACTAGACAGATTCAGTCCTATGTGAATTTCTGACAGCAGATGAATGGCCCAGTGATTATTTCATTGCAGGCAATTTTAACTGCAAAATCTGGAATTAAATAAATCCTCACCTGCTAGGACAACTCAGTTACCTATCTGAAAGTGATTGACAGTTTCAAATAGGCTCAGGATCAATAAGACTACCAGGGGGAGTGGATTTACAGCTGAATAAAGAGGAATATGCATTTTGCTCCCATGTCAACCACTCATGATAGGATTGATTTCCTCCCCCCTTTATGTTAAGAATAATTCAGACTCTCAAACTAGAAGATTATCTTAATCCTGCCTGTGTCTCTGGGACCACACAGGGGCCAATTCTGGTGCTCGTTTATTTTCTGAATCATTTCAGGAGACCAGTCAATGAATAATTGCACTCTTCTCAAACAACCTGATTATAAGCCTTTTAGAAGTAGTGTGATGTCTTTGCACTTCAGTCTAATTGAGATCAATCCCCTTTTCTCATGTGTGCAAATAGCCTGTGTACAAGGGAAATTAGTTCTGTCATAGTGAGCCTTTGCAAGTTCAAGGAGGGGAAATGGGTTGAGCAAGTGCAACTAAGATAAATAAAACAGAGATGGCTTAGCTAAGAGTGCTCATGCTCAACTCAAAGCAGGCATATCAATGGGGAGGGGATGAACACAAGCCTCTTGTTTGTTTGTTATCAGTTTTTGAAAGAGAGAAAAAAAAGGTTATCTTCCAATGATACAGAGGAATCATCGCTGATCATCAAAACTATATAGGTTACAATAGACATTCATTCTATCAGTGTGGTTCCTCCCGATAGTCTATTTATCCATACTGTACTCTATGGGCTCCAATATGTTTACATGCTTTTGGAATCTACAGCCATTAGGTTTCCCATAATCAGTGCAACTCTCCTGTCTTTAAGACCCCACTTGCTCCTGTTGATTAAGAAGGTCTGTCAACACCAAAGCCAGTCATAGTGGTTGCTACTGAAAGATATGAAGACCCTCCTCAGTCCAAGGTTGAATATACCACTCCTTATCTATCCCACAGTGCCATGATGGAGGGGGCAGTCTTGCACAGCTCTGGTAGTTTCTAGAATTTAGATACCATGTAGATTCTATCAATGACTAAAACAATAGTCATAGTTAATTTATTTATACACCACATTTTCCACAAAAACATCTGTGCTCAAAACAGTTCAAAGCGAAGAATCAGTCTACAATAAGAGTACATAAATATATGAAAGACATTACAATATAAATGTAATTGCTGTACATGAGAATATAACACACGATTAGCTATTTACTTAACATAGGTAATACTAAAGGTAAATGACCCCTAGACAGTTAGGTCCAGCCAAAGGCAACAATGAGGTGCAGCAATCATCTCGCTTCAGGCCAAGGGAGCCAGTGTTTGTCCACAGACAGCTTTCTGGGTCATGTGGCCAGCATGTCTAAATCGCACCCAGGACAGAGCAACAGGAGCTCACCCCATCATGCAGATTTGAACTGCCAACCTTCTGATCAGCAAGCCCAAGAGGTTCAGTGGTTTAGATCACAGCGCCACACACGTCCCGCCATGTTACTTAAAATACACCAAAAGTGAGCATAAAGTTTAATAATAAGTCAATGAACATTACTCAATACCTTCACATCCCAGTGCAGCCCCAAAGCTGATGGCACAAGTGACTGAAACTGTCATCCCCTTGATGACAAAGACAGCATCTCTCTCCCATTATGAATTGGACCTACGAGTAAAACCACAGCTTGCACACACAATGCTTAATCACAATTACAAGTCAGGTCCAAGCAATGTAAGAAACTAGAATTTCAGCATCTTCCAGCAACCCACACCCACATACGTAACAAAGCGAAGGCATCCTCAAATATAGGAGGCATATACTTCCGGAACTCCCTGAGCAAATCAAGCGCCTACAGGCTACAACTTCCCATTTTGTCCCCATAGGAAAACATCAGGACAAGAGAGAAGGAATGCTACCCAAAAGAAAGTGAAGATTCCTCTTGGATTCAGCTAGTTGGTTCCAAGAGTTCAAGCCCTACACAGCTATTATGCCTTCTCTGATAGTTCACAGTCTAATTTATAATCACAAACATTTCAATTCACTATCTATGGTTGGGCAGTTCCATTATTAGGCCAGCCAAAATGTTACAAGGGAGTGAGCAAGCTTTTGAGCCCTCCAGAACTCTTTATCAGGCTGAATGTTAAACAAGCATGGGGGAAGTTGGGGAGGGAGTGTAACTGGTGGTTAAAGCTTTAAACTTTGCTTAGGTTTCAGTCTAAAGACAAAGTCTGGGAAGAAGGAGCAGGTTTCAGGTTAGCATTGTGCAGGTTTCAAGTTAGTCACCAGGATGAGGGGATGAAGAAATACACAGTAGCTCAGTTTGCACATAACGCTAAGCCAAATCATGGCAGTGCAAACACACAAGCATGTGGGCTGTTGGAGGAGAGATTATTGCTGCTTTGCTCCTCCTCTGCTCCTCCTCCTTTGAGCTAAGCAATAGTTCAGCACGGTTGTCTGAATCTGGGCTCATGTTTTATTTCCTCCAGACAAACCACATAGAACAATTCATTGTTTACAATTCATTGTTTGCCTGGACAGAAACAAACCATGAGTCTGAGTTGGACAACATGCTAAACCAAACCATGGCTTAGCTCCCAGCAGCACAACAGCAGCAGGACTGGAGAGGGAGCAAAGTAGTCATAATAGGCTCTCTGGAAAACTTCAAACTCATACATTGGCTTAGTGTTTTCTGCGAACCAGGTCATAGGCTGATTCCCTATTTTTAAAATTATATTTTATAAAGCCATGCAGCAGTTCTCTACATTTGTCTGCAGCCTTAAGTGAAACACACAGGTTCCTTGTGGAACAGCAGTAAAATAGAAACACAGCAATTTTTACATTAGCAAAGCTGGAGATTCATTTTAGGTAGTGTACTAGATAAAACAAAGTACTGTATGTGGAAACTGAATTAAGTAGCTTCACCTAGCAATTAATGGATTCATCAACTGCAACTAGACCATGGGCAGAAAAGGCACTGTTGAGGGATGAAATTAAGTATACAGCTACCATTCTTCCAAATGTACCATGCCATTGCTGCCTTCAACTCCTGTGAAAATGAAAAGGGCAGGGAAATGGCTATATATCTACACATCTTGGGGTAAACTAAAATCTATCACTTGGGAAATGAGAGCTTTGATGCCTTACTAATGAAGCAGAGGCAGGACATTTCAGCACAGCATGATCTTTAAATGAAGCACTTAATTCTCGCTCTTATTATAGTAATTGTGCAATGACATCCCTTTCCTTGGAATGTCTCATCCAGCGTTGGCTATAGCCTCATCCCCCCAAGGAGGCGACACTGTTTTTCCTCTCTCCACATTCTCGTTTGTGGTGGTCTCATTTGGGTTAACAATGCAATTACAGTCTCAATTTATGTGACTAGCTGCTAGAACAGCAAGAGAAACATTCAAATAGGCTGCCACCCACACAGTGCTACATTGGCACAAAGCTGTGCCACATGGTTGTAGTTGACTTTTACCACTGAATCTCTCGGGAGCTCTTCATGGGCTCTTCAACCTTGCTGAAGCAATAGATGTAGATGTGTAGCTTTCTCAGCCCAGTACTATCTTTCAAACATATGTTTCACTGCTTCGATAAAACATGGATGAGAAAAGACTATGGGGGAAAGGCCATAGCTCAGTGGTAGAGTACATGACTTTTCATGCAAAAGATCCCAGCTTCAAGCCCTGTTCTCTCCAGGTTAGGCTGGGAAAGACTGCTGCCTGAGACCCAGAAGAAACCATGCCTAACTTGGCTTGACCTTGTGGAAGACAGCTCCCTACGTTTCCAACATGGTGTTTGAATCTGCATAAGCACTGATCCAGCCAGGCAAAAGAACTCGGGGAGAGGCTGGAGCAGCACCAGTGAGCTCTGTGGCTGTCATGAGCTGGCTGGACATAGAGGGATGGTGGGAGGAATCAGCTGGGAAACCACCAAGGGAAGAAAGCTCAGAGCCCGGGGAGTGATGGTAGGACAACAATGAGTGGTCACTGGGAGAAGAGGGAGAAGACTGGGAAGATGATCAAGATCAAGCAACAGAGGAACTGGTCTGCTGTCAACTGGACCACTCAACAAGCAATCTTTCCGAGACTGTTCTTCAAATACCCACCACCCTGAGAACATGCTTGCATTGCCTTTAAAAAAATACTTTCTAAATCTCTCTTTGCTTTAGGAGAAGGGGGGACCATTTAAAACATTTCCAGAACCTCCTAGCTGAAAAGCAAACATTTGACTTTTCCGCTCCACATGCACTGGAGGTTATCTTGCTGACAGCTTCCTTGAGAGATCTGGTATTTAATTTCCTGGGGAAAGGTTTCTGCTGGGAACTGGCAGGTTTTCATTGTTCTCCATGAGTCTTTAAAATTTCTTTTTTTAAAACAACAACAACGCACTGCTAGAGTTTTTTCCTTGGTAATGGCACTTCCCTAGCCCATATTCACAATCAGACTCAACATAATGACAAAGGACTACTATGGCAATTAATCATAAATGCGTAGGCTACCCAGCGTGTGTGCACTCATGTGTGTTCAAGGCCAAAGTGGGAGGAGCAATGAGTGTGAATTCTACCTCCGTACAGTAGGCTAGTTTCTACACGCACTCACCTCCACTCTCTCCCCTCCATCCAGACAAGCAAGAATCATTAGCAGAGTTCAAGGAAACGTTTCAGTCAGGCAAGAACACTTAGGGTCTGAAGCAGGGCCAGCAAAAGGAAATTACCGTATTTTTTGCTCTATAAGACTCACTTTTTCCCTCCTAAAAAGTAAGGGGAAATGTGTGTGCGTCTTATGGAGCGAATGCAGGCTGCGCAGCTATCCCAGAAGCCAGAACAGCAAGAGGGATTGCTGCTTTCACTGCACAGCGATCCCTCTTGCTGTTCTGGCTTCTGAGATTCAGATTTTCCCCCCCTTGTTTTCCTCCTCCAAAAACTAGGTGCGTCTTGTGGTCTGGTGCGTCTTATAGAGCGAAAAATACAGTATGGGGCCTGGAGGGCTGCATGTGGTCCCTAGGCCCAAGGTTCCCCATCCCTGCCCTACCCACTTTCCAACATCCACAGGTGTCATACAAAACAACTGACACAACAACCAATAGCTTCCTCCATAATGGTGCAAGTCAAACAACTTCCGCCACTTGCTCACAGACACAATCCATTCCCAGAGTGTTCTTCTTCACACTTGGTCATGTTCTGCTCGGAAGCAATTTGAACACTTTTTAAAACATCCATTAAAGCTCTGATGAAACTCACAGTAGTTTTGCAGACCTTTTGACTTACTGTCTTTTTCTCTTTATTACACTAAGGTCTAAAGAGCGTCCTGCGGCTTTACTTTCCCTGTGACCGAGGACTCTGACATTTACAGTGCACAATCAATCATGTCAGCAGCCAGTGTTTGCATAAAAGGAAGAAATACTGCTTTTTGGAACAGGGAAAGCCTGTGAAAGTTAGTTATGGTTTGTGATCATTTCTAGTGAGCCACAGTATTGGGCCGGCCAGCAGTTTGAAAAGAAAGCCCAGCTCTATGCTGTCAGCTAGAATGGTGTCTGATAATGATTTGTCAACGTTTTAGGAGGCATTTTTTGCTGACCATCTGCCCAGGCCTATGTATATTTATGCTGAAGAAAGTTCCATGTGAATGGGAAGGATTCACAGCTCACAACAATGCTAAAAACCCAAGCGAACAGCTCACAACTCAAAACAGTAAAAAGAAATGAGAAAGTTTGTTTCAGTCAATTTGTATTCTCTTTTTCTGCAGATTGTATTCAAAACACATATACTGGAGGCCACCGTTCAATGGTACAGCTCATGCTGTGCAAGCAGAAGATTCTGGGTTCAATTCCTGAAAAATTTGGTGTACCGGGTTAGAATTTCCTGCATATCTCAATGTTGAGCTGAAACACACACAGATTCCCTCCCCCCAATTCCTGTCTCACTCCCTAATGTTGACAAGGAAGTCCTCCACACCCATTTCTGCTAATAACATTATATTCATTATTATACGCATTATTAGACATAAAATATGACCTGCATATACACTCCTGTTTCCTAAAGCAACCAGCACATAAAAAGATATACAACATTGCATATAACAGTACAGTGGTACCTCTGGTTACGAACTTAATTCGTTCCGGAGGTCTGTTCTTAACCTGAAACCGTTCTTAACCTGAGGTACCACTTTAGCTAATGGGGCCTCCCGCTGCCACCGTGCCGCTGGCACACGATTTCTGCTCTCATCCTGGGGCAAAGTTTTTAACCCAAGGTACTATTTCTGGGTAAGCAGAGTCTGTAACCCAAAGTGTTTGTAACCTGAGGTGTTTGTAACCAGAGGTACAACTGTATAAAAACAAGTATGTATTAATATACTTATAACATTATTTTGCAGAAATAAGAGTTCAGCATGGGGCTTGACGCTTATGTATCATATACTTTTTCACATATGTTTGTATATAATTAGTCATGCTTTTTGAAAAAAAATAATATTCTGCCAGTGCAAAAGTGGTGCTGACATAAGTGGGTGCTTGCTATAGGAGGCAGTCTGATGTTAGAGACGCTTGATTGGATCAGAACCACCAATGGCCATGGCTAAACCCATTTAAAACTGAGTCTTTCTCCATCCTTAGTGCCAGAAAAGGCTTCAGTCTAAGTTGCTGGAGAACTGCTGCCAGTCAAAGTTGATGGTGCCAGAGGCCATCTTGTCTGTGAGTCGTGGAAGACCTGCTCCCTGCCTTGCAGGTGTTTCCCGCTTGACCCTGGGGCCCTGACTGACTCCAGCTGCAAAAGCTGAGGCTGTGGAACAGACTCGTGGCCTGGGTTGTTATTTGGGGATTGTTGCTGCTGTTGCTGCTATTGTGTTTTTGTATCTTTATTTTAGATCTTCTTGAGATTTATGTGAAAATTGTTCAGTTTGGTTGTGGTGTTTTTATTGTTTTATTTATTGTTTATGACTACTTTTGTTACATTGTATTTTTTTTCATGTGGTAAGCCACCTTGAGCATGTTTTGAACTGTGGAAAAGTGGCATACAAAAAAAAATATGCATGTATGAACAAAAAGTCACATCTGTTATAAGTCAGATTTCTGTGTTCCTATTTACAACTATTTATAACTCACAACAGGTGAAAAAAGCCATAAACATCCAAAGCAACAAAGTATCACAATTAAAGCGTACATAATAGTACTCATAGAAACAACATTTATAAAACTGAATGATTAAATGCAGCAACAATTAAAGAGCCAAAACACCCTGCTGAAATAGACGCGTCTTCGGTGCCTGTCTAAATGGAAGAGAAGAATCTGAAATGTGCCTTCAGTCCAGCAACTGTTCCAATATGCAAGAGTAAGATAAAAGGAGCATATAATTAACTGAAATACTTATAACGACAGCATACCTGCTGGGAGCTCACTTGCTAGGCATTTGCTTGGGCTTTGAAAAATGTTCTAAATGAGGCGATTCCCTCATCACCTCCTCTGGACAGTCTTCTAGATTAGGGAAAATGGTGCTTTGAAAAATGCTGTATTGGAAAAAAGACATGTACAAAATATATTTTGCTAGGCTAAAACTCCCCTCATCCCTTGTGCTAGTCCGGGTGGATGGGAGTTGGAGTTTAACATCCGCAGGGCCAGAGGTTCCCTATCACTGTTATACCCACTTTCCCCTTACTTCTGAGTAGACACGTATAGGGATGCACTGAACGCTTGGGGGGGGGGGAACCGTGCAGGGAGAATTAGGTATTCAAATGGCAAAGGAAAGGGCAGCACCTTTCTACCATTCTGCTTGCATTGCTTTTAACCTCTCCTTTCAAAGGGATCTTATTTAAGCAATTTTCAGTGAAAGGGCAGCATCGCTGAATAGATCAAGCAGGAAGATAAACCAACACAAAGACAAATGCATTCTCCTTCCTTCTTCTGCTATTAAACTGCCAGCACTGCAGAGAACATTATGTTGCACTTTCTCGCTACCCTCTCGATTACATCGCCTCTAAACGTCAAAATGCTTTTTTAAACAACTGCTGGGTGGGTGGCCTGTTGCAGCCTGTTGAGGTTTCACTGCCAATCTTCCTATACGGTTGAGTTAAACAGCTAAGCCATAATCTTCTCCGTGAGAAGATAAAAGAAAGCCTCAGGTTGTCCTCTCATCATTCTCCCGCGCTCTGAAGCCCTTAGGGCTAGGGCCGCTTCTGTTTTGTTTGCCTTGTGACTGAGCTTCAGGCTCTCTCTGGCGTACAGGAAGCAGCTGCACACCCAGGTTTCGTGCTCCCTTAAGCATGCAAGTGTCATGCAGGCAGCTGGGACGCAACAAAAACAAGGTTGCATTTTCTTGGGGTCATGGGTTTGAGCCCCACATAAGGCAGAAGATTCCTGAATTGCAGGGGGTTGGACTAGATGACCCTGGTCGTCCCTCCCAACTCTACAATTCTATGATTCTGTGGGTTCAGGGTTGGGGAAACTTATTCAGCCCAAGGGGCGAATTCTCTCATGAACAACTTTCCAGGGGCCAATGCCAGTGATGGGCAAGGCCAAAGGCCAAATTGTGTGCAGGGCAACTGAGGCGACTCTGATCTCTGTACAATAGGCTACATTCCAGCCATGCAAAACCCAGATATTAACATATACACGTTCACACAAACATACCCACATCAAGGTAAGCAAGAGGCATTATCACAATTCAAGGACCTTTTCTAGCCAGGCAAAAGAACTAGAGAAGCAG